AAGCATGCGGGGACCCGGAAAATATGTTGAAAATAGATGGTCAGGGTATGCAAGAAGGAGGTGCACAGGAGCGCGTGATTGCACGGGACGACAGCTCCGACTCAGATGACAGCGCTGGGTGTTTCTCTCCGAACACAGCATCCAATGCGCCAGTAGTTGACCGTCGGCAGTGGGTGACGGCAATCATGAAACGACGTAAATGTATATTGGTACTTCTTTTTTGTTTTTAGTTATGGCGTGGTTCAAAAGGGATATCAAACTCCACATTGGTGCCAGGTCCAGTGTATGGGCAATCCCGACTGCAAGGCTTTTGTCTACCAGTTAAAAAAGGGGCACTACCACAATGAACGTAGGTTCACGTCGCATACAGGACAGCCACCGAAAGATGCACATCCTCCCCTGTGGCAGAGCGCCATGACGTGAATGAGATCGACTGTTTCCTTCTTGCCGACCAGGGCAACACATTCAGTCCTGAGAAGAACAAGAAGAACAAGGACATGGACTTCGTGTTCGGCCCCAAATACTGCCCAGGAGAGGGTAATCAGACTCCCTTGAGTTTGACCATGGATGGACACCCTTTCCATTCCCTGCTCATATGTGCATGGATGATTAGAGCCCCCTTGGGATGAGCCTGGGGAAGAGTGGCCTCTGCGGATCAATGTGGGCGGCCCGCCCCACCAGGATGTATATGACAAGAAATGGCAACAGCACAAATACTTCACTGTGCAGGCCGGCTCTGCGGGCGTCTATAATGAGAGGGTCTTCGTAAGCTGCATAAGCACGCCGTGAATACACACACGAGTGGACCTGTCTGCGACCGTTTGTATGTTTGCACTCGTCGTTTCTCAATCAGTGGAAGTCTCTTCCTATGGAGCCCCTCGCCCACACGGGTCGTGAAAATTTCATCTACTCTATTCCAGTGGAGTCCCCCGTCACCGTCGTCGTCAATCTCTACTTTGCTGAGGTAAACACGTGTGTCTTTCCGAACCAAAACATGGTTATGGACAAGGATATATGCGTTAGGTCCTCCACAAAGGGAAACCAGGACGGCGTGTCCAAAACGTCTTCGTAGAGAACAACCAAGTGCTCAGTGATTTTGACACCTATGCCATAGCCGCGGTCCTCGTCGCCCCTGAAGGCCCCAAGGTATAAAAGACCGAATTGACCCAGAACACCTATCTGTCTGCAAATTTCAATTGTCTTTCCGCCTGCCGTCCCTTCTGAAAGGAGGTCAGGTTTATATCAAAGGACACGAGAGCGCAGGATGTCGTTGGCAACTCCACCGTGACTGTCTACAACGGCCCAAACGAGCCCTTCGGCACCATCGTCAAAGTCGAGACGCCCATGGCGGTAATCGAGGACAACACCATTGACATCAGGGGCGAAGCGGTGAAGAGCAAGTCATGGCTCACGGCCATCGAGGTCTATGCCACCGAAGTGGTGCTGGATATCACCGTCACGGCTGATAGCCCCACACAGACGGAACCGTTCACCGCAATTGCATTCGCACCGGAAACGCCTACACAGGTGTGTCAAATCGAAAGAGGCACAGCGCTCCACTCAACAACCCTCCTGCCTGTCTGGCTCATGGTGTGTCTTGCCTGTCAGACGCTTACAATTGAGAACAGGGACAGCCGCGACGTGAAGCTTCCCATATCATTCGAGGGTGGAAACGATGCCCAATTCACTGTGGATCCCGCGGAGGTCACACTGAAGGCGGGAGAGACTTCGACCGTAGAGGTCACGTGGACTGGAGCCGATACTGCGGATGGACCTGTCGTCACCTCGCTCAAGCTATCCAAACACGTAACAGAGAAGGGATATCCAGCGAGCGTGCCGACGTGTTCCTCTCTCTGTCGCAGCTTCGTGTGTTAATTTCAGCCGATGTAACCAATAAGGAGGCCATGCTCGACGTGCAGAGCGGCATACAGATGGGTCTCATCACTCCTCTGAGCTATGGGGGCAGCGGCAAGGGCATCCAGGCGCCCCTATCGTCAAGGCAACAGGCCACCATCACCCGGGTAGTGGCGTTCGGCTCCGATGATGGCATCCAGGTATCCATTCCGGGTGCATTCACCCTTGACGTCCCCGGGGACGTTGTCCTCAAATAGCCGCTGGAGATCACGTCCAAGGCGACCGTCCCCATGCGCATCGGGTTCGCTGCCGAGAATGCTGGAGACTTCGGGCTCATTGTGGCCTTCATGGGGCCTGACTTCGAGACCAGGTTCATGACAGTAACAGGCCGCGGCGTCAACAAAGGCGAGCCCCACTATTTGCACCCGGTGCTGGATCTGCCACCTGGTGGCTATGTGGTCGACTACGATGGCGACGGGAAAGAGAGTCTACTGCTCATGGGGCACTTCAGCCACACACACGAGCCAAAGATGGTTAGCTGTGACAAAAGGATGCGCAGGTATGCATAAGTGAACTGATGGTTAATCTGCCTGTGTCTCTAAACCAGAGTGTGGAGAAGTGGACGTACAGCGTGAACGGTCAGGTGGTGTCCAGCGGTGTCGACAAAGACATTACTGACGAATATGATACCGGTGTTTACACAGTCCAGCTCACCATTGAAGACGGAGAGGCAAAAACACTCGCGGACACAGGGAGGTAGGCACCCACACGCAACGAATGCAACACCAGTCCGTGCGTGCCTCCTTTCAGTGTGGCCGTCGTTCCCATCGACAAGGTTCCCGGTTGTGCGGCTCTTCTTTATAAACCTCCTGCGTCGCAGCTCGATGAGTTCTTTGAGGCGCCCATGGACGGGATCAACCTCAGGAGTGGCAGCACGGTGCTCGAGCCGAAATGGATCGGCAGCAGTCTCGAGAAGGGATGCGAATTCAAACCCGACGGTCGAAATAACAACATCATGGGGTCACCCTTCAAGCAGGATGTCATTCTCAGAGCTAAGGTCGGCGCCGGAGCTTCGCATGCCATGAGCGGAGTGAATAAGTTTGTGTGTATGTCTTGTATCCGTTGGATGGTGAAGGGTACCCTAAAGGTGAATGACGGCATGAAGAATAACAAAGGGGAGGTTCCGATCACCATCAGTGCAGACCCAGCAGTCCAGATGATGCTGCGGGTCAATGGCGAGCCCTTCTCTCTCTCCAAAGGGAATGCCAAAGCTAAACTTCCCAACGGATCTCATGATTTTGAGATCAGCTGGCTCATTACAAACCCTGCTTCTTTGCCTCTGTCGGTAATTTTATTGTATGGCGAGTGGTCCCATTGTGCACATTACAAATGTACTTTCCGCTCAGCTGCATACAAATGGCGGGGTTACGGAGATCGATGATGTGTCTCACAGTCAGCAAGACTACCCTCCGTTCATCAACCGCATCTCACCCACTAGGGGGCACGTCTCCGGCGGCCAAAAGATAACCATCGAGGGCGCCGGCTTCATGAATCCGCATGCGGTCAAGAAGGGTGTCTCACTTATCTTTGGCAATACACACGTCGACTACCTCACGGACAGTCAGGTCCTCAAAGCTGACGGCACAGAGATCGTCTACGAGGTTTCGCCAGGGGTGAGCGTGCAAGACTGGCTCAGACCTGTGTGTCGTCTTTGCGTGTTCGTTGGATAACAGGCGGAGGAGGAGCTTTCTGTGTCCGTCAGGACCCCTCATGGTGTATCGAAGAAGAAGCGTTTCGAGTACTCTAGTCGTGTGGCCCCCGCTATTAAGTGGACCAGTCGGACCGTCTTACTTGCCTTCGATAGCGAAGCACCCCTGAAACGCAAGCGTCGTGGCGAGTGGAACGGTACACCTTCTAGAAGACATGCCGAAATTACATATGCCTCTCTCTCTATCTGCGTGTGTTGTCAGGCTCGCTGACCCAGGGCGAGTGGGGCCCTGATCGCCGCCTGTACATGAGCGATATCGGCGGCGGCATCCGGGCGCTTGAATGGACCTCGAACAACGACATCGACGGGGAAAGCCTGATCGAAATCACCACCATCATGGTCAGTGATTCGAAAACGCTTTCGAAACTTGTCTACCAACTGTGACTTCACCCAGAAAGAATACCCTGGTCACGTTATCATTGGTTTCGGATGTGAGGCTCACCCAAGGGCTTACGTATGAAGCCATGTTGCATTCTCCTGTCCCGTTTCTATCTCAGTCGACCCATTTGGCGACCCAGACGACCCAGAGATCTACGTGGCACACAGTCCCATGTTCCAGTGGGTACGACACGATGAGAGAGGGACCCCCGCCAGCACACGTGGATTTTTCTCTTACTAGCAGGGAGGAGACTGCTTCAGCCAAGAGAACAACACCGCCAAGTTCCTCGGTGTGTTGAGTAAACTGAAGGGTCAGTTCAAGGCACATGCAGACACGGATGCACAGATCACTGCTGGTGGTGATGGTGCCCCAGGTCCCCCTCTCTTCAAGCATCATGAAGTGGTGGTTGACGGCTTGCCCGTGTCCAACCACGATCACGGCCTGAACGGCATCTCCTTCGACAACAGCGGCAGCCTTTACCTCCCAATTGGTGGCATGACCAATATAGTACGGACACGCGCTACACTCACACTGCTGGCCATGCCTTTCGGACTGTCATCCGTCATGTGCATCCGTGCTCCTCCAGGGCTGGCCCGCATGCATCCTTGGCGGTTTGCCAGAGAGCCACTACTCAGGTGCCCTCATCAAGGTGGAGTTGAGGAATCCAAAGCGCTCCAGAACGCTGGAATGGGTCGACTACTTCACAAGAGATCGCATCGGGAACCCCAACCAAGTCAGTGGAATCCGACAAATTCGCCTGGCAATCCAGTTCGTATTGGGACATTCTGACAGTTGGTTGCCGATACGTACGATGTGGCCCCGTGGGTCACGGGCGTGTATCCCTATTCATTTGGGATCCGTAACGCCTACGACACGGTCTATACGACAAAAGGGCAGCTGTGGACATCTTCAAATGGCTGGAACGAGGGCTACGGCCTCGCCATCAACGGACCCCGGAGTCGGGCTGTACGTTCGACGGCTGGGATAAGTCGAGCTTCGCCAGTCCGGACAGAGGCGAGGCCTTGGACGGGGCGACCCGGGAGGAGAGATTTCATGCCTATGGTGTGGTTTGTACGTGTCATCAGGCATAAATCCGTTTTGGAAGGGGGAGAAAAAGTGTCGGCCAGTGTTGGAAGAAGACTGGACTGACCCCGATCGCCTCTTCCAGACCTTTGCAAATGCATACCACGGTCTGCCCAACGCGGCACGTGCCCGCAACATGGAGGACGACCGCCAGTGGTACGTCAAGGACGCCAACGCGCCGCACGACCCGCCGAGGTTCCACCAAGGGTATCCATGGGAGTCATCCACCAACGGAATCGCCGAGTTCAGGGGTACAAAGCAGATCGGCACTGCATTATCCCCTGCATCCAATCTTTCCAGGCAATTGCTTTGCCGGAGCCATGCGTGGTGACTTGCTGGGCGCCAAGTGGAACGGGTGGATCTGGAGAGTTGACATTCCCTATCTGGACGAGGAGGAAGGAGAGGACGTTACGATTTCAAAACTCGAGGGCGCTGAAGTTGGCGGACTGGAGGTACGCACGACGCACAGAAGGACGAACAACAGAAAAGGGAGACACACGGACACGACACGCATGGTTTGCAGGTGGTGTACGGCCCAGGGTGCAGTATCCTGACATTGGATTACACGCACAATAATAATCTCAAGCACATCATGGCCGACGACAAGGACGCCAAGTCTAACCCCGGACCCACGGCATTCGGTGAATGAAGATGCCATTTAAATGACTTGCTCCGACGCTCATACATGTCCGTGCGCTTGTCGCTCGGTCGCTTAGACATCACACCGTGGAGGGGCAACTACCGATTTGCACAAAAGATCGTCATCGGTAAGTGAGAATGCACGCACTACCTTCATGTTCCGGAGTGCATCTGTGTATGCAGGTGGCTACAATTTGAACGGCCAGGGCGAGACGAAGCCTCCGAAGCACCGCAAGGCGACCAAATTTGTCATCGATGGCGTCGAGTGTAGCATCACCTCTCAAAGCGTAAGCACAACAGGGACTTACTCACGTCGTGACTTGGTGCCTGTCTGCGCAGGACACACGTATCGAGGGCGTGGTTCCCGCTGTGAAGAGCCCCCGCCATATTGAAGAGCTCGTGGATGTGGTCGTGCACTTCAATGATGGCACCAAGTCGGTACTGCCGGACTCGTGGCTCTGGGCTGACCCAGGCGATGCAATCAACTAAACATGCAAGCCAACAATACATTCTTTTGGCCTCGTCCGCCTGGCGAGCTGAGAGAGTAGTTTCCCGATGGAGACGTGACGATTGAACAGTTTTTGGGATTTTTTCGTATTGTGACGTGCTGTCCAGCACGAAACACCGCAATGTCATTCGGACGCTGAAGCTGTACATACTCGTGGATGAATGTGGTGTCTCTGCCGGCCCTGTCTGGCTGTTTGTCTGTCTGTACGAATGTACATTCGTAGTGTGTGTTTTTGTGTGTTGTGGCTGTATTTTCCCTTGATTC